AAAACAACAGTGGAAGAGGACACACAATATTAGCATATCTGAAATGCATTTATGGCAACACCTGTGACTGACTTGTTTCTATTTTGGTTATTTTGTCTTTGGTATATTGTACAGAACACACATGCCCTTTTTCTCAGTAAGTGACTTTCTCTTTCACCATACTCCCTCATGATCTTATGATCACACTGGTGACAATGAGGGGATGGTCTCTTAAGGCTTGTGCTTCTTCTCAAAGGAACAACTGCTGTCTCCTCACCTGATGAATTGCCTCTCAAAAGGACATTAGACGTATTTCCACTAAGATGAGCATAGTTTTCTTTTGAGGACATACTTGAGGCATATCTCATTTTTTGAACGGGAACCTCCTGCTGAACTTCTCACCAACAATGACACTGCTTTTCATAGTAAATCATTCAAGGAGTTTTTAGATGGGTGAGGAATCCATATCCATTTCTGCTGCCCGCACATCCCTTCCAGTAACAGGATAATTGAATGTTGCCACTGAAGCGTAAAGCAAATTGCCATGAGGAAATAATGCTCAGTGATGGAAGGCGTATATTGGCACAACATTACACCCAAAGATGACGTGTCATCTTCCACTGTGCCCACTAATAGGATTTACCGTCATAGAGTCTTGGCACAAGGCATTGATAAAACACCTCTACCAAAGCAAGAATGATTGACATATGGGTTAGGGAATCCTAAACAGGGAACAAGAGATAAACTTCTACTGTTGTTCAAAAGACCAAGAAGAGGTGTGAATCAGATGATAGGCAAACCTATAGAATCAAAAAGAGACAGGTGAAATTTATAGAACATATAATAAGGAAGAAGGGCTTGGAGAATTTAACACTCACAGGGTATATTGAATACAAGTGAAGCAGGGGAAAATAATAGCCTACCTAACATGTTTATCTCTCATTACAATCTGCTAGTTTGTTGAACCAACTCCCTAGAGAATGCTTCCTACATCATTACAATCTTAACCTGTTTAAAGTTTAGGGTTATTCATTATTTTCCCTACATATCTGAATAATCTGTAACTCTTTACTTTGAGTGGCTCTTGGGCCTTGTACAGAGTGAACATTATTGTAAAAAAAACTTATATAAATACTGATGAGTTTGCTAAAATCTTGTAGGTTTTTTAGGAATGGATTTACTTTGTCATATATATCTGACCCACTTGTTCTTCCATGAAATGGAAAGTCCAATAACTTTTTTCAAGACATTAGAATTATCATTAATTCCTCTTAGAAAAATACTTAGACAACATTACATATCAGTGGATTCATTCAAGTGTAAAGAAAAGAAAGTACAAGCATTTACAAGGTGTTTCAGTTGCATTGATGCATGACAAGAGAAGTGCGTCGCATAGCTGTTTGTTTTGACAGAGCAATTTCATCAAATTTCTTTCGATATTTTTATCACCAAGACATCTTGTCAATATTTGGAGACAAACGTTAGTAATTTCTTTTCCATTGAGAAGGTTTTTTGTTTTTTTGGCCAATAGTAATGGTAATATTAGCTATTTCCTTATAAGGAAACCAGGATAGAAAAAGCAATCTCATTGGACAAGTAAATGATCAACAGAGTTTCACATCTTTTAAGAACAAGGTTTGTTTTTTAATTTTTTTTCCTTTTTCTTAGTTACTTATTCTTTCTGCAACTAAGATCCATGTATTAGCTTCGGTTTTCTTTCTATTTCAGTCGAATGTTTTGTTTTATAGCATCTGCTAAGATCATCAATTATGAAAAAAAAAAAAAAAACTTCATGAACAATATGTAATGGTTTTCCTGAAGGACTCTCTATAAATAAGAACTCATTTTCACACTATTCATAGAATTCATGTTTACTAGCATTTTCTTATTTTCTCTTGCTCGTTTTGATGGTTGAATAAATTAAAAAGGCAAAACAAATGAAGCATACATATGTCAATTGTAAATTTACTGGTAAAAATTTTTAGGATTTATATAATGTGCCACATCTAATAATGTAATGTATCACTTTTGGTGCATGTGCCATGGGTTGGCCCTCCCTGAATGTATTTAAAGGATACAGGTGAACATTATAAGTAGAAATTTGAATTGCTTACTTGTAAGCATATATATATATAGCAGAGGTCACATCATTGTGATATGATTTGGGTATTGACACCCCCCCATTAACATGAATCATATACAGCACATATGGTCTCCAAATATCTTGACTGGTTCTAGTCATTAGATCAAGATTGTCTGATACTGAGATGCCACATCGTGTAGCACAAGCTTTGAATGATTATAAACAATTATGTGGGTATCATCAAGCTTTTGGAGATTGGGGGAGATCCAACACATCTGTCAAAAGCTGTTTTTTTGGATATCTTCATGCATTAAGTAGGAAACTATCATATATACATATATATATATAAAGACAAATGTTATTACAGACATTTTGTGTTGATTAATTTTATTGATTTGCTTTTCCAAATTACGAATAATACTTATCAGTTAAGGGTGAAATTCTGTCAGAAATTGTTCAATGTTCATTTTGAAAGAAATATGGCCCAAACTTTTGACTTTCTCAAGTCATTATTAGGATAGGTAGAGACAAATGGTGAGTTTTGTGAAACTAATGTGGGTTGTGATGTAGACAATGTGTGATGTGTGTGTATTTTATTTTTATATAAATATATTTCTATATCCACACTGTCTCTCACTCTCTCTCATATATATATATATATATATATATATGTGTGTGTGTGCACACACACAGAAAAAGTAAATCATGAACAAATATATTGAGTTGTCTGGAAAGTTCATGCCAATTTTTAAGGGAAATTAAAATACAAAACAAAAGTATGCCATCAAATATTGATTCTACTAAATACGAACCATTTTGTTATACAACCTTTCTCCATTTTTCTTTCAACTTAAAGATTCTATCTTCCCATAATTTTGGTGGTTTCTCACCAAAGAACTTGTTAAGGTGATTTTTTAATGTCATACAAAGAATTGAAATTTTTACCATTGAGATTATTTTTGCAAGGACTGGAATAAATGAAAATCTGTAGACACAATGTCTAATGGCGGGTGGGGTAATACATTCCAGCCAAGCTGCCACATTTTTTTCCAGGTTGCCAAAGAAATGTGAGGTCTGGCATTATCCTGATGGAAAACAACACCTTTCCTGTTCACCAATTCTGGGCATTTTTCTTAAATTGCTGCCTTTAATTCATCCAGTTGCGAGCCGTACTGTTCAGAATCAATTGACTGGTTACTTGACAGAAGCTCTTAGTACAGGATTCCTTTCCAATCCCACCAGATGCACACCATGACTTTCTTAGGATGAAGACCTGCTTTTGGGGTGGCTAAAGTTGGTTCATGTCACTTACCCCAGGATCTTTTTGCTGAACATTGTTGTAAATGATCCATTTCTCCTCATCTGTCACAGTTTGCTTCATAAAGGGTGTTTTTTCATTACGTTTATACAGCAAATCACAGATAGAAATTCAATCCAAAAGATTCTTTTCACTCAGATCATATGGTACCCAAACATCAAAGCGATTTGAGTACCCTAGCTTCACTAAGTGCTCATGGATGGTGGATTTTGGTAAATTTAGTGTTTCTGCCAATTCCCATGTATAATTTGGGTCATTCTCAATCAATGTCTTGATTTGGTCGTCATCTGTAGTAGGGGGCCTGTCTGAGCTTTCTTCATCATTAAGGCTACAATCACCAACTCTAAACTTAGTGAATCACTTCCGTACAATTCTGTCAGCTAAGGCACCTTCACTGTACACAGCATATATCTTTTTTTTTTCTTGCTTGCAAGGCATTTTTGCCTTTATTGTAAAAAAAATTTTAAAAAAGTATCAAGTGTCTGATATGCACCTTATAATCTTCCATTTTCATAGGGATGCAAAATTGACATGAATTAAGTAATTTTAAACTTTCTTTCTCAAGAGATCATTTGACATTTGCTCTAATCAGAAATGTAAGCATATATCTGTCAATAAATTTGATGTATTCTAATGTGTTGAAACATGAATGAATAAAAATCAGCGTGTACTTTCCAGACAACCCAATAGAATGTTAGAAATTAGAGTGGGGGGACTTAAGAACAGATACTTCCAAAATTGTTTTTTAGTTTATTACAGATTCCAAGAAACCACTCATATTTTGGCATTTTTTATGGCAGATACAAATGGTTATGGTAATATTGTTTTCTTATCAGGAAACATTCAGCATTCATTGACCAAGCAGCCAGTGCTACTTTCAGTTGGAATCTATAGGTCTTTCCAATATTGATGGGGGATTTCCTTCCTAACCTTTTGTTTGAAGTAGTGAGCAATGTCAACATATTGATTTATCATTTTCTCTTTGAGTTATATATGCTATTCATTTTAGTTGCTGCTGCTGCTGTTGGTAGTCCTAAATTTGATGTGGTTTCTGTTATTTGGTAGAGTTGTTTGTAATTATGTAGCACCAGTTCATAAGGTTCAAAGAGGAATAGTCCTTATTAAGACCTACAGATTTCATTTGCTCAAAGCCATTTTGTAACCACTGATCTGAAAAAGCAGTTTTATACAGCTGATAGTTTAGATATTTTTGGATAAGTTTGGCACCGCACATGACATCCATATGAAAATTTCAATATGACAAAGCTATTGAAGAACATGACTCAAGTTTTTAGGTTATATTTTGGTTTTGTTGCAATTTGCAACATCGGGCAAAACTATGTCTAGTATGGCCTGAATTTTACCTCCCTTAAGTTTAATAAGCATGTTATTGAAATCTGAGAACTTACATGAATGGTTTTATCTATATACAGCAAACAGATAAACTCTTGGCAATTTTATATGCAAATACACACATAGATTTATCTGCTATTTTCACTATTATCCAATAAAAGAGTAAACTTCTGACTAAATATTAATTTTATATGGGTTATACTGGATAAATTTACAGACATATATACAGAAAAGATGTGTTGGAAGAAGAATAGAGAATTGACTTACTGTTCCCAACATGCACGGCAGAAGCGGTGCTCACAAGGCATATGAACTGGCTCCTCAGACATCAGAAACATGCAAGTACAAATATCACACTGAAATGAACAAAATATATATACAGAAATTAAGTGGCCTAAGTGAGATGAATTCAGTTCTTTGCTTGGCAAGAACAATGGCATACAAGTCAATCAGGAATAATAGGCATGGAAAGAAATACTAGTAGACAGAGCAGAGACAAGTCATAATTATGCAGATGGGCTTTCTCTAAATTTCCTTACACCTTTTCATATATATATGTATATATATGAATATATATTTTGTTGTAATGGAATATCCCACACTCCCTATCACATATGTGGACTGACTATATTGGTGTATATATATATATATATATATATATAGCATAGGATATACCTGGCAGACTTGCTTTGGGAATTACTAGCCTGCTAACTGATTCCACCCTGTCTTTCAGTAGTGTATTCTCTTTACAATAAACCTTTTTATCTACACCCATGTTACTGTTTCTTTCATTCGGGTACCACCTTTGTCTGTTTGTAACCTTCTTTAATGATATGAGTTTCATGCAATGGCAATCATCAGGCATTGTTGATTTTGGCATTTAGTTTATTTTATATTTTAAGCTTTTTTTTATTCTTATTATATATATATATATATATATATATATATATATATATATATATATATATATATATATATAGTGTGTGTGAGAGAGAGAGTGAATAAAGGCAAAAGGAAAACTTTACCAACATGTTTTGTCCTCTGGTTGACTTTTATCAATGCAAATGTAACAATTTTATTTTGCAACATAAACAGGAGTATAAATACTGTTAGGTTTTCAAAAGTTTTAAATTCAAGAATGTGCATAAATATTCTTCAGGTTAACTTTGAAAGTCAAGGTAAACTATGAAGGATGCTAAGTGATGTAATTTAATGCCTAATAAACAAGAGTGAGTAAATGTTGTTATTGTTGTTGAACTTTTTATTTTGTTATTTGTCAATATTATTGTTTAATTACTTTTTCTATTTATTTATTAATATAATTATCATATATTATTTTAATAAATTATTTATGAATTTATTTATTTTAAATAATAGAAGATTTTGATTTGACCATTTTGTTTTAATTTATTTAAATACCTCATGGTCGTGTATTATATATATATATATATATATATATATATATATAAACTCCTCTACACATTTCATTCTGAACAGTGTATTGGGCATTTTTTAAATATCCATGTTTGGCTTGGAATTGTTCCTACCTACTACATACTTAGTATATATATAAGTTGCAAAGTTGGCTAAAGAGATGTCACTTGAACTTTTCTTAATTTATTGAATGTGATAGTTCTAGTTATTGAGTGATTTTTGGCAAAGGTTCTGCTAACCTGAAGAAACACACAAAATTCTTGTAATTTTCATGTATTTTCTCAGTTGTAGTATTATTATTATCATATTTATAAATTTATAAAAATTTACAAAATTATAAAAGTATATGAACAAACTATAATGAAATAATTATTATTTTCCATTTTATGAAGAAATAAATATAGAAAAGAGATTTTTTTCATTGATAAATTTCTAAAAATATCTGTGAACATGGAAATTTTAAATAAAACAAAGATAGGTTAAATTAATTAAAAACTCTGACAAAATGCATATTCTGGACATTTCTTTTATTTGTTCCTGTCATATAAACTCACTAAAATAGGTTGAGAATATCTCCTCTTCTAATCCAAATATTCTTTTAATTTTAGAGGAGACAACAAACACTCAATATTTTGAGCATATACCCCTCTATTTATTGGTCAGGAAAAGATTTTCTTGTGTATAATTACATAAAGTTTGCAATTTTTACCTGGTATTTCTATTGATTAGACATATTTCATGCCAGAAAATTAAAACAAGAAGTAAACTGAGATACAAGATAATCCGAAAAAAAAAAAGTATAATGTTTGGGAAAATTATGTGTATTTAAATTTTCTTGTTATATAGTTCACTGAAATTTTTGAATAAAAATATTTGTTTTCATATTTTTCTCTATAAAACACATAATAATAAATATTGCATTGTTCACCTAATTTTATAATCTTGTAAATAATCTAAATAATGTGTAAACATTTTTGTTGGTATTAAAATTCTAAACATTGCTTTTTAAAACAATAAACTTCACAGAGGTAGTCAAGTTAGTATACAGCAAGAGTAATGTCAAGATATAAACTATACTTTTGACAAATAATTTTTTTTGCGAGTTCAAAGCTTAAACTTTGCCCATATAGCTACATTCTTCCTAATCCAACTTCAAATATGCCATCTTGTTTCCATTTAACAGTAATAGATATAAGTATCTTAACCTCTCCCCTGCTAATTATTTTGTGAAAAACATTTCATTTTCAGACAAATTTATTTGTTTTTACTATAGTAACCAAGAAACTGAGGCATTTTGAAGTGGTGGCTAACACCTCTACCAGACATATGACAATTGGTCTCATTTCAAGCTCAGAAGGGCATAAAAAGAATCAAGATCAACATATAAGCACATCTGTACCTGATGTTTTAAATGTTATGTTTTGGATTTATTAATCTGTGTCTGAGAAAGACACTTTCAGTAAAAACATATATACACATCTATGCTGGGGAAGGGGTTGTCTAAATTTCTAAAATGAAACAGTCACTAAATTAAAAAGAAAACTGAGTGCTGCAATAAAAATCAATTGAAGGAAAGTGAAAACAAAAAACAAAACAAAACCAAAAAAGTCATAAATATTTTGTTATTCCCTGATTGGCCTGAAATATTAAAATGATCTCCAGCCTTAAACAGAAGAAAATTTTAGTGTCATGAATTTGTAATCATTTTGAATTTTCTTCTTGCATTTCAGTTTATAAATAAACTTAGAATATTGAATATGGAAATGAAATTGCTTCAATGAACAGTTTTTCTCTACAAAATCTCAGAGTGACTTCATGTAAACTTTGAATGTTTTGCATCACTTTAGTTATATGAATTTATTGCAAAAATACCTTCAAATCTTTGTCCTAAATCTTAAAAAACAATTATGTCATGTGTCTCACCCTTCACACACCCACATATATGTTAATGTATATATTTGGGCAGCAACCTTTCTTTCAAACATCTTTCATTGAAAATGGCTGACAATGAAGATTTTAATTAATCTTTTATTGAGTTTTTCCAGGATTTTAACAATTTTCCATTTTTCAGTGGTTAAAGAACATAAAAATTGTCCATTGTTCAATGAAAGATTATATATATATATATATATATATAAAAGACAAAAGGAAAACTTTTCTTAGCCAATGTATTTTGTCCTCTGATAGACTTTATGAAGGTAAATGTAAGGATTTTATTTCTCAACAAGTATTTTTACTTCTGTTTATAAACACTTGTTGAAAAATAAAATCTTTGGTAAAGCCCATCAGAGGACAAAAGCTATTGGTAAAGAAAAGCATTCCTTTTGTCTTTATACAGATATATCTTTAGTTATAAGTGAATATAAGTTTACACACACACACACACATTTTTTATATATATATATATATATATATATATATATATATAAAAGAAAGGGTGGGGGAGAGAAAGGGAATTTAAACTTTCACTCAGATAAAATAAAAAAAGAATTATATTTGTTTATATCCTGTAATGAAGAATTGACAAGTTTGAATTCCATTTAAAGCTTGTATTTTTCATTTGGAACAAAAGTATTTTGCCAAAACAATGCCTCTTCATGGCATGATTTGCAAGGAATGTGTTAGGTTGAATTAAGAGTCCCAAGTACACTTATCAGAAGAATCTTAAATGTTATTAAAGTCCTGATTGTTCTCTAAACAACTAAAATTGATAATATCTTCAGAATGACAGCGAGTAGAAGAAATATGTTCCTGGTTTACTCAGTCTGTTTTGAAAATAGAAGTTTCTATTTCTACACTGCAGCACGCAGAGGATTATTGTACAGAGACTAAATCTCAGAAGACATAATCTCTGTTTTGATAGAGAAGAGCATGCAATATTGGTTTTAAGAAGTTCACAAATCATGATTGACAATTGTATTATATTCAAGCAAATAAATTACGAAAAAGGTACATAAAAGTTAAAAATTCACATGTAATATTTTTGATACCCCACCCACTTGTAAGATTATTTATATCAGCTTAATAACTAAATATGATATGTCGGCCACCAGTCAATTATAATAAATAAAATTTGAATTAAGTTTAACAACAACAAAACAATTGCACTTTGAGTGTGGATAAATACATGTTAAGAAGGGTTTTCAAATATTACAGCAAGGAGATACTGTACTCAAGGATAAAAAAAAGACTTTAAAAATTTCAAAATTGATGAATTAGAGGAATTTTTAAAGGAAGATGCAGCAGAAACAATATGTGAATTTGCAGATAAATTAGTGATTAATCAATCAATGGGAATACATTGATTACAGGCTTTATGAATAATTTAGAAAGAAAATAGGTTCTTTATGAATGAAAACAAAGGAATATAGATCAGCATTTAAATACTTGTATTTACTTGCTCAACACAGGAATAAATCATCATTTTTTAGACAAGATATAGACTGAATTAGAAAAATACATTTATAAGAATCCCAAAAAGAAAATTGTGGTGAGAATCATCTTAACCTGAAAAGAATCTGCTTGAATGAAAACTTCTTTTCTGTATTTAATAGTTTTTTAAATGAATTCTTTATTATGAATTGCAGGAATTTCAACAAACTATTACTGCATAATTCTGTAGTGAGCAATTGGCTCGTTTGAATGATAAATTGGAAGAGAAAAAAACAAACTTTTTCTTTACCCAAGCAAAGAAATCAATTAGTTATTTTGCTACATGACAATAATTGTCTCCATGCTGCAAATGTGATATGCAAATGATCATTGGGCTGGGATGAGAGAATTTCCATATATGGTTTATTCTCTCAACCTTTAACCTTCAGACTATCACTTGTTTTGTTTCATGTAATAATCTTTGGTTAGCAAAATATTGAAAAATTCCTTGAAGAATTCACCACATCAAACCATAATCGTTATTTTATTATTAGATTTCTTATGCATCTTGGTTTGGCTTGGATTGAGGTGTCTGTCTTAGTGATTTAAGCTATCAGTATTTATAATTTTTTTGTGTCAGCTTAAGGTGTGGGATGTCTTGAAAATATTTTATCAAACAAGAAAACTAAACCCAGAATAAAAATTGAAAACTATTCCAGTTCATGGCTTGGAAATTGTGGTAAAATGAATCATGATGGAATACACAAAGGTTCTAAAAAGATAATGGCACAATTATTCCATGTAGTTATAGGAATAAAAGAATTTAGGGAAAAATGATCAAAACTTTTGCATCAACCTAATATAATAAAATACACAATTTACCTGAAAAGTGGCACACTGTTATATAAAAAGCCAGAGAAAATAATTTGATGACTGGATAATATTGATATAAATGTTATACAGGGTGTGATAGAAATACCTTGCACATAGTGGTAAGACATTAGCTAGATGAAGACACCATTTCCACTAATGACCTACCATTATGTGGGAGGTATTTCTGCTGCACTCTGTATGAATAAAAGACTTATAAAAAAGAAAACATCAACATATTAATATTCAACTTAGAAATAAAGTTCATGAAATTTAGAATTCTTACAACAGCATCATGGTCAGGTGGTTCTGAGTTGGTGGGGCTGTTGAGGGTCTCAGGAAGGATTGGTTGATCACTGTATAAACTAGCAGGTGGTGTTACTCCACATTTTTCGCAGCAGGCAAATGGGTCTGTCATCCAAGCTTCAAGCAGGGTTTCACGTGACCATTCTGAGGAGGAGGAATAAAAAAAAAAAAAACATAAAAAAAGTTCAATCCTAACATATATACTGTCTTAATAGAAGCTTCACCAGATTGAAATATTCTTTACTTCATGTTTAATAGAAAAGGAAAATGCTGTACATGTATTTTCTTTTTTTTCAACAAAATCAATTAATTTAATCTTTTTAATTAACAATGACAAGAGATTAGTTGGGTATGAATAACATATGTTTCAATTATTTTTTTAAATAAACACAAAAAAGTTTCCAAAATCTGGGGAGAGGATTAAAATAGGTAATTGACTTTGACACAACTTGTAAAAAGTATAAAGAAAATTAAAGATACAAATAGTCATATTGAATGATCAAGTCACAAAAATCAAGTTATAAATCAAAGAACTATTAATCTCAACTTCATTTTTGGATAGCTGTTCAGAATTGCTTCAATGGCATCAGTTTCAGAAAAATATTATTAGCAAAAAAGGAGAGGTTAAATTATAAAAATGTAAATTCTTCAGAAAATCAAATTTCAGCTAATTAAAATATAATTTTTATATTTCCATTCCAGGTTTCTATTTTTAAATATCCATTTTTAATAGTGCAACTGACCAATTGACCAATGACTAAAGTATCAATATTTTATTATTAAAGAGAAGAGCAAAAAAATAGTTACAAACACAAGTGCTGAAAAGTTCTTTGCCTGACCAAGAAGCTCTTCCCAAAGAAAAAAAGAAAGAAAATCCTGTTTGATCAGATTTTTGAAAAGTGTTATCTTATAATACATATTCACCCATCTCCTGATGTCTCTCCCCCATGAATTATAGAACCTAATTTTCTATTATTTTTGTTCTCTTCAAAAGAAGCCAATTTGTATCTCAAGTTTACAGGTTGAGAATAAAACTAGAACACCCAATGTTTCAATTTAGTCTTGATTAAACCTATCTTGACTTCAGTCACTATCCCACTGCCATGATGTCGCTTCCCTCTGGCTTTTCTATAAATATTTTCACATCAATTGTTCTAATGATTTCGCCTATTTGTTACCTCAATCACATGAGTTTAAACATATTACTAGATTGGCAACTAAGTCTCATCATTTTACTGTTAAAATAGCTAGAAATCTATTCTAATAGTTTCTTTTCTCACTTAAGTTTTTTTATTCTCAGAGATCTTGTGTCATAGTGTCATTATTACCTTGTTTGAGGTAAAATGATTATAATACATACATATAATACTGAATTCTTCTTATACTTGAAATATTTTTCACCCATTTATTTGTATGAAAATGTTGATCTGAGGAATTAGAATCAAATTTTTATTCTAAGGAAATAAATTATAATCACCATGAACCCTTAAAGTTGTCTGATTCTTAATATAATTAATATTTGCTCTGTTTTTACATTGAGCTCTCTGGATTATATTCTCCCTGGAATTATCCATACAGATTACCAAACACATCTGCATACATTTTATATATATATATATATATATATATATATATAGTAATGAAGGGTTTGGTAATTCATGTGGATAATTCCAAAGAGGATGTAATCCAGAGAGCTCAATGTAACACCAGAGCAAATATATATAACTGATTTATAGTAAATGATCACAGATACAGATCTAATCTATATGTTCACAAGTTCCTAAATAAAGAGTGTATCGATAGTATTCAGACTCCATATTAATATACTGTATATACACCTTTGGCATTAATACAAATCTGTGTTTTTCTACTTTTTTGATTTTAGCATTACTTATAACAGTTTTTATTACTTCTCTGAAATTTCTGCTTCAATATTATTTTCCATTCTCATATACATCTCTTTTAAAGAAGAACCACAAGTTTTCTACTCAATTGTTATCTGTAGAGACTAGGGGCTATTCCATTAATTTGGTGTTTACAAAAGTGTTTTGGTAAGGTGGAGTCAGTTTTGCAGAATGTGAGAAGGAACATTGTCTTGCATGAAGAGACTCTTTAGCTTGAAGCTTCTTGATTGTGACTGATACCACTCAATAAATGTCTTGTTCAAGAACTTACAATTATTTTCTGTATTTATCTTTATGAAATCATCATCACCTTTGAAAGGAGCTATAATTTTACAGCCTACAGTACTAACCCAAAACATTACTTCACTCACCCAGCAATCTTTGCTTTCTTAGTTTTGTTGGTTGGTTATTTTCATAAAGGACCCAGCTCCAGACTAGCTATCAAGTTCATCCAATGGAGCCCTACATTCATCACTAAAAATCATGACAGTGAAATCAGTTTTCATCACTTTGCCCATCTTACATGTTTTGTGTTTTATTGTTTACTTAATTGAGATAGTTTCATTACTTTCATGCCTTTCAACAATGTTCTTAATATTCTGCATCTTTTCTGTTTATATTTGCTTCTGGAAATATTGTCTTGCTAGTCAGTCCATTCTTTGTTCTTAGCATGCCAATGTTTTCAATTTCATTTTTGATTGTTCTATGTTCTGTTTAACTTTTTTGGCAATTTCCAACCTTGTTCTTATCACTCAATAATCATCCTGGGTATGACGATAAACTACATCTGTGTCCTGGGTAAGACAATAAACTAAGTCCAACAGCAAAGGCTCTGATCAGGAGAAGATTGAGGAGCATATAAGCACCTCTTAATTGCTGGTGTTCCCAGGTCCACCCTGACCTGGAGTGGTAGCACCTGTTAGGATCCCAGCTACAGGCAAATAGTTAACCCCCAAACTGAAGTCAAAACACTATAAACGTGTAAAAATAGGTTTTAATACCAGAAATACTTTGAAAAAATAAAAATAAAAAAAATATTACCAGCAATACATTTTTGAAAAAAAAATATTACCAGCAATAAAAATTTGGTTGGCATTAAATAACCCATCGAGGTTGATATGCCATAAAACAAAACAAACCAAAGAATAACTTTACAATATCTTGTTTCTTTATTGTAGTTATATCTTTCTTATAACACATGGTGATTTCTATATATATCTGAAATTGAAAATGAGATTGCAATAACTATATTTATTTACAATATTATGACCAACCCATTGAATAATATTGTAAGTGTTTCTAAAGACTGATAAGACTAAATTCACATATATTTTTCAAATAAATGCTAAGTATATAATGAAAATCTTACCACTATCAATTAGGTAATACCAATTTTATTGTGAAAACATTTCCTTGCATGAAAAAATCTGAAGTCATGTAAGCTATAAGGAATGGTTGTGATAACATGAGTAAATCTCTATACAAATCCTACTAGTCATTATAAGACGAGATATCCCTAGACATGGGCAGTGAACAAGAACAATCTGTCTCTGTAGATTAAATAAAGTGTTCAGTTCAAAATTCCTTATAGTTTATCTGGATCAACATACACTGATGAAGGCTAGAGGATAGAACAAATGAAATATTGTAATAACAAAAACAAAGATGATATAATGTAAATAATGATAAATCCTCATTGTGGAAATTCAGACAGAGAGCAATCAGTTGATAACAACAATAATGTAAATAATGATAACTTCTCATCAAAGAAATTCAAACAGAAATTACAAAGAGATGCTGAAAAGTTCTTGGTCATATTTTAATCAAAATAAGATCAAATGATCAAACATCAGAATTTTTTTAAAAGGTTTCTTAGTAGGGCTGAGTACTTTTCAATATCTCTTTGTAGAATCAATTTTGTGGTCAGTGAAATTTTCGGGCTTAGATCAAATCTAGGAACAGTGCTGATGTATATTTTCGAAGGTCTGTGATGAAACACTCATCATTCCATTTATCTACATTTGTATTTGATTTTAACACAATATTTCAGCAGATACATTCTTGGGCCATCCTCAATGTAGAATATCCAGCAGTTGTTAAAAGCTTGTCCAATTTTTCATCTTGCTTTACCTTCTACCACCATCTCAATTAGAATAAGTCAAATTTGTGCATCAGATGTTAGAATAAGTAATTTATATATTAACATGAATATTTGACACTTGAATCTATGAACTGTTTGAGATAATATCAAGAAAAACATTGTAAGGAGATTTAAGGATTACTGAAGGCAATGTTTAAAAAAGCTGCTTAACACACTGACTGAAGTATATTAAAATAAGGAAGAATGATGCCGATGTGAATAATTTATGAAACTAGTGCTG